AAGTAAGTGGATTGTGGAGTCAAAGAACAAATCGTACGAATATAAACTCCCAATATCTAAGGTTATTCTTGCTGAACCATCGGAGAAATAAAAGTACTCTGATAATAGGACATAACACACTAAGTAGCATGAGTAACTCTAAGACGAAAATCTTACTTGAAAATGAACGCGCTCCTCGGGGGAACTTTTAAAAAATTGCTAGTCAAAGAGCGAGCACCCGGGTGCACCCTCATTTGTTCTCAGTGAGAGCTTCTTTTGTAAGAATGTTCTCTTAGCAGGGGAGACCGAAGCCCTACAGTTGATCGCTTTCAGGGTGGACTTCACAAACACGTGTGAATTCATGAGTTACCATGTCCTGCTTAGACTAACTGCATATGATACATGTTTCGAAAATTGCTTATTGTTATCACTGCCACATATGATTAACTTGTTCCAGTCTCGATTTTCATAATAGCTATTTCTTTTTTCTTACACTTCGGTCTCTCCTCACACTATTCAGGTTCTTTATGCATTTATTCTTTAGAGCAATCGTTTTCTCTCAGCATTCTAATTTTTTGTCATTTTTCGTATCGCAGCTAATCTACCTTTTGACTGTTAATGTAATAGCTAATAGTACCCTTACTGATCTGAGACAGATGCGGTCATTCAGAATAGAAGATATATAAATGTAGAAATTATTACCGAACAAACTAGAGTTAGTGCAGTCGAGTACTTAGAATGCTGGCTATTGGATATTACGAAATACCTGTCACCATACCGAGATAGAATTCCGCCTGGAGCCCCTCTGGGCTACTGATGGTCCCAGACCCGGATAGAGAAAGAGAGTTGGGCATGTGGTTAGCGACTCCATCCCGTAGGAAACTAACTCGCTAAGAACACGTTAACCTGAAACAATTATTCAAAACATATAGACTCTCTTCTGGGAGTCAGAAGGTCTTCATCTGGAAGAGTTTTGACGCCTCATGGTGAAATTCGAGTTCCTTCGGAAGTCACGAGGCTGATGCCTCTTCCGACTACCACAACAACCATTAATTTAGGCACATGGAATGTTCGTACAGTGTGGGAGACTGGTAGAGTCATTCAGGTTGCTGCAGAAATGGAGAGATACAACATGGAGGTGCTTGAAATCAGTGAAACACATTGGACACAGGTTGGACAACAACGAATATCTTCAGGAGAGCTTCTGTTATACTCCGGTCATGAAGAAGAAAATGCCCAACATACACAAGGCGTTGCACTGATGCTATGGAAACAAGCACGAAGTGATACACAAATGGCCCTCTTGTCTTTTTTGTTTTTTTATCAAAGTTATTTCAGCTCATTTTTATTTTCATTCATTTTATAGGGTCACAAGTAGGTTTCGTTTTTATCAAATTGTCCAGTTTTTCCTGTAACAGGATTACTCGGTAGCAAGTGAGACCAATTAAATGTTGCAAACACAATTTAAGGTATTTTCATAATAAATTAGCATCAATACGATGGGTACGTGATATCCTACTTGACCACAATGAGTCGTAATTGAACAACATTTTCTGCCCCACAGACATGAGTGGATTGAAGTTATCTCCCCCTTCAACATGCTTGCTGTTCAGTAACGCCACCCGCCCTCCTTTTGTGATGTTAGGATCTCGTACGCTTGTGGTATGTATGAATATTGCTTTAATCAAAGCTCCTTGTTGGAGTACACTGTTTCTACTAGCTCCCTGTTACAAGTAAATCAAATGGTTAAGACCTTTGTATTGTTGGATAGATATCCATTTGGTATATCACACTGCTATGAAGATAACTACTGGTTTAAGTTATAAAATACTGGTCAGGTTATATATAGTTTAGATATGGAAGAACGGACAGCAACTCAAAAAGTATGAAAGAGCTTAGGATTGTAAATTTTCAGAGTGAGAAAACAAAACATTGAGTGACTCAAAAGAATTTAAGACATTGTGAGCTTCTTATGACCGGCCATAGTTGATCAACATCAATAAGATTAGTGAGTTATCTGTCTACTTGCAACAGAAAAGAAGGACATGACACTTGGGAAGAAAAATGCAACTTTAAACATTAGAGAGATTCGGGATTTGAAAGTGAGGAGTAAGAGTATAAGAACACGACCAATAATCAACGAATAATGGGAGAGGATAAACGAGGTGCTCTATCATTCGGTCATATTCATACTAGTGACAGTGGGGGCCCGTTATATTCATGATCAGTCTAGATATTAGGCAGTCCATAATAAGGGGCCTCGTGATGGAAGGAGGTTCAGTGAACTTCAACACATAAGTATGGTTTCTCAAATTCTATGATGTTAAATATGTCGTTTATATACATAAAAAACAAAAGCGGACCTAATGCACTTTCCTGCATGACGCCACTAGTTATTGATCTACGTGATGAGAGATAGTTATTGTACTTCACTATTTGTTTGTGTTCCGTTAAGAATAAATAAACCATTAATAGAGTGGGTTGTTGATTCCGAAAGACTGTAGTTTGACTGAAAGCCTTTTGTGTGGAACCTTATCAAAAGCTTTCCTAAAGTCTAAAAATAGGACTGAAACAATAAGTCCATTGTTTCGTTTCAGAGTTACATCATTCAGGTAGTCTCCTAGACATGTGTCGCATGATTTGGACCTAAGAAATTAATGTTGGTTGATCGAGATGAGATTATTAGTAAGTAGATGTTGAACTACCACCGCCTTTACTACTTTTTACATCACTCTAGATACTACTGAAGTTATATTTATGGGTTGGTAATTTTCAGCATTTGCTTCAGGTCCTATTTTAATTTTGGGAATGATGTGTGTAGTTTTCCAGGCATTAGGGTTACTTGCTGTAGGGAGTGATATCCCAAATAGTTTGTGTAATATAACACACATATCATCACCTCCACGTTTTAGCATGCTAGCCGGAATACCATCTGGCCCACCAGTGTAAGAGTGTCTCAGTGTACTAACTGCCTGATATATATTTTGTACATTGAAGTCTATATACGTAATTTCACAGAGAGGTACTGGGATTGGTGCTGAATCAGTTAGTGGTTTTTCGTTGGTTAGTGAGATGAAAAAGTGCTCACTAAATAGTTCCGTGAAAGGCACTGCTGGGTAGAACAGGTTACAACGGCGCGTACAGACAACACAAACATATAAGGAATATATGTATAGAGACGATAATAGAAGACATGATTAAGTACCAGATAAAGCTTATTGACAAATTGTCACCAATCCGAAAGACCTATTCCGCCATGCAGCCATTTTTCGACAAGCCGAAACCTGAGGTTCTCAACTGCTACGTCCTAATATCCCGATCAACAACGACGGTGACGTCGCCGACCTCCTGGCAGAACAGTACTGTCGGACATGTCAACTGACCCGCACTGACTATATTGGTGGAAGCCCCACCTTCAACTCCACAGGACTTTCGGTAGTGAATCTGAGCGCTGACTTGGTGTACCGAAGACTGCAACACATAAAAAAGACACTTCTCTTGGTCCGCATATGGTCCATTCAGCTATACTGAGGGAAGCAGCTTCATTCTTGACAAAACTGCTTGGCATGGTGTTCTCATACTCGCTAATCCGAGGTACGTTACAAGAAATTCAGAAGCTGGCACACATCACATCAATTTTCAAAGGTCGACGCAGCGAACCTTCAAACTACCGACCAATGGCACCTCTCTCTATACCATCAAAAATTATGGGGTCCCTGATATACGGCGGTACATATGACTACTTACCATCCATAAACGTTTTTCATCCCAACAGCACAGTTTCAGAAAAAGGTCACTCTTGTATAGCTAACCTGCTAACTGAGGTGGACAGATGGACAACCATCTTTGATCGCAAGGGGAAGTTTGGCGCCATATACCTTAACTTCTCAAAGACTTTTAATAGGGCCAACCATATATATCTTGTCAATAAGCTCGAACGATTAGGTATCAAATCCTCTTTAATTGATTGGCTCACCTCATATCTAAGAAATCGACATTTTAAGGTTAGGGTTAAATACACTTCATCTCAGGCTATGGGATGTCCTAGTGGGTTCCCTGAGGGTTCAGTACTAGGAGAGAGATACACAACCAAGAGGATAAATTGGATCTTCAGGAGGACCTGACTTGACTTCAAAGTTGGGCAGATGATAACAGATTTACCTTTAACACTTTAAAGTGTAAAATAGTCCATCTTTGACATGCTTCAGACTACAAATACAACTTAGACAACTCCCCTCTAGAGGCATCGCAAGCTGAAAAAGATCTAGGAGTGTTGGTACCCAATGATTTGAAATATTACGCTAATTGAGGCAAAAATGCCTTCCCAGCAACGTTGCACTGGAAACGTTGAAGCGCATTTTTGACCAGTTTGACGTAAGACCTTTCCATCTAATCTTCAACAGTTTTATTCGTCCCCATTTACAGTACGGAAACACAATAGTTCCTCCTTCACTCCAAAAGGATAAGGACACTCTGGAACATATCCGACGGCAAGCCACAAAATCTGTTCGGGGACTCCAATTCAAGCCTTATGAAGGGCGCCTTCACTCATTGGGGTACAAGCGTCTTAGAGATGAGGTTCTTATAATACACAACATACTAAATACTTATGGAAATCCAATTAAACACCTACTTAAGTTTAGTTCCAACACAAACATCAGGGATAACACCCAGAAACTGGAGACAACACAGCAGAACAGACTGTAGACACAACTTCTACTCCTCGAGAGAAGTTAAATGCTGAAATTCGCTGCCGACTGAGCTAATCCAAGCTACGTCCTAGGGGTCCTTTAAGAGAAAACTTGTCATACTATTAAGGCCTAAGGATAGTATCTTAATATGATTTACCATATTCTTTTTCCTCTTTTATCGTTAATATACCTAGGTTACCGCCTGAAGGTATTGGTGATCCACTGCTACTAGATACAGAAGCCTGTTAAGCGAATACTTCTTCTATTCCGCTTAGAACTATTTGAAACATTTGAGCGCAAAGATATTAGTCGGCTCATACAAGGACGTCACAGAAATACTGGTTCCAGGTGGTGTGGTTCGGTTGTGTTGACGTATAACACAAACTTCCCTTTCATCTCAAAATAAAATGTAGCATTTTTTGAAAAGGGATCGTATCTTCTTTTCAGAGTAGCTCATAAAGCAGTACTCTCGACAGGACAAGGATGTACGTATGAGTGTTGTTGTACATCGGATTACAGGATTTTATGAATGTAACGTTACATCCCGTGTCATTCTGGTTGACTTAGAATGACACGGTAAGGCTTATTTTCCTCGTCTTTTACGTTCATCATACTTAATTAGGAAAACTTCTGCTCGATTTAAGACGTTTCTGATAATACGTTTAAACAGGTAACGGATTCACTATAGTGTAAACGGCTTGCATTTCGAGATCAGTTTCAGTTTGGAAATGACGGGAGGCTTGATGGCCTGTGTTAGTCCTGGCAATGATGGTCTCTCAGCTGATCCAACTTTTTTTTGAAGGAGTCGACGAATGAAGCCACGTGCTGAGGTAATGAATTCCACTCGTTGATGATTCGATGGCGAAGTCGAGTCAGCTGAAAAGTATTTCGTTCTGAGTCTGTGAAATTTTTTGTAGTGTCCTCGTAGATTTTCTGTCTTGGAAGACAAGAAAAATAAGGGCATATCAGGTGTAAATTTGTCATTAAGCAATTTGAAAACTGTAATCAAGTCGTCTCTGATTCTTCTATATGACAGCGGGAATAGGTTTAGCTTGGTCAGTCTAGTACCATACGGGAGCTTCTTTATTCCGGGAATCAGCCTAGTTGCTGTTCTTTAAACTTTCTCCAAGAGTTCACTGTCTTTTTATAGGCAGGGGCTAGCTGCTTGTATGCAGTACTCAAGTTTAGGGTGTACGAACACTGTATACAAAGTCAGAAACGTTTTAGCGTTGAGATGCCTAAAAGCCCCGCATATGAACCATAAAGTTCTAAAACCTTTGGCGGCCATTGCACGGCAGTGTGCAGTGGTCTTTAAGGCTTGACTAACGATGACGCCTAAGTCATTGTGTGCCTGGACAATAGGTAACTCTGTTATTCATCGTGTATGTATCTGTACCCTGGTGGCCAATATGCGTCACAATACACTTGGAAGTGTTTATCGGCAATTGCCAGGTTTGGGACCATTCAGATAATCTCTCCAGGTCATTTTGGAGTTCTAAGCTATCGCCCTTGCTTTGCTCTCAGCTTCCCTATTTTGGGGTTTCCCCAAAGTCGTAAAAAGTTTGGTAGTTTTCCCCGAAAATTTTGGGGTGTTTTGTCATTTCCCTAGAGTTTTGTATTGCGGCTTCTCCAAAATTTGCTCAAAACGGACGGATTTTTCCACAAAGTAGGTAGATTAGGCTGTCAAATCATACCATGAGTTGCAATAATTATTGACATCGTACTCAAAAAAAACGGTAATAACTTACTTTATAATAAAAAGCCCAAGCAAGTCCCAATATCTGTAGCTCAGTTTATCTTGTTTGATTTCTCTAATATCTTTGTCACGAGCTTGTATAAGCCTATCCATTCGCACTCACTTGTTTCGGTACGGTTCCAGGTGTCCTATAGGTGGTTGTCTAGCCACTTGGTTGTACTAATTCTAGCTAGTTTGGTATCAGTTATTATGATTGCTTTTCTATATCGTTGGTAAACTTGAGACACTTGGTACACCGGTTAAAGATTTGCATTCCTGTCAATTAATTGGTACATAGGTATAAATTATTTTGTTACATCACTGCCAAGGATCAAAAGTACTACCCCATTGAATTCACAACTTCATTTTTACTTGTCAGTTCAAAGGTAACTAACACATCTCATTTGTTTCAGGTTATCAGTGTATCGAACTATAAAGGACTAAATATTCAAAGTTTTAGCAGAGATCTTTGTGCATGACGCAATGCTATACTTAGTAGGCCTGGGTTTAGGTTCCTTCTCGGATTTGACAATGAAGGGTTATGATGTACTCAAGAAGTGTGATTATGTGTACCTTGATAGTTATACTTCCATATTCTCTGAGGAAGGGTTCAAAACATTGGATATCGATGGGAAATGCATACTTCCAGCCGATCGAGAATTCGTGGAGCAAAGCAGTGAAATTATAGATCGAGCGAAAAACCATGACGTTGCGTTTCTGGTCGTGGGTGATCCTTTGGGAGCAACTACACACAGTGGTTAGTGGATAAGTGCTAATATTTTTCAGATATTATATTGAGAGCTGTAGAAAAAAATATATCTTATCAAATTATTCACAATGCGTCAGTTATAACTGCAGTCGGTTGTTGTGGCTTGCAGCTTTATAACTTTGGTGCGACTGTATCAATTCCTTTGTGGGATGAATTTGGTCATCCGGAAAGCTTCTATGATAAAATAATAATGAATATAAAAAACGGATTTCACACTCTATGTTTGCTGGATATCAAGGTAAAGCAACTCTATTTGCATGTAATACTCACTTCTTAACTGCATGTCAGATACTCAAGATTTTTTCACTGAATTTCAAAATTAGTGACTTTTTTGTAATTCATCCCAAATAAAATAGATCGATTTCGTTATTAATCCATCTAACAGATATCTGTCTCAACAATTACGTAGGTCAACATGAATTCACGATGTTCTTCTTGACCCTCCACTTTTCTTCTAAACAGGTTTTTGGGAAGCTCACTTCCTGCAGTTGTGATGAACCTAGCTAGTCTCGCAACCCTAAAAGTTAAGCACTTGGTAGTTAGCCTATGGTGTTTGTATGATGCTTTTTGGAGCAGTTGAAGTGAGGTATGAACCAGTCTCTCACTTTTTGATGACTTCACTTTTGTCCAAAATAAACGACGAATGGTGGTTAAGGAACTGAGCTTTTTACATTTATGTTTATTAGTCGAACGCAAACATCGGTACAAAGGGGCTACCAACTACGTAGTACATGTAGTAATAATAATAGGAAGAGCAGTTAATTTAGGAAACAGACAACCAGAAAGGGTTCTTACAGTTTGAGAAGTCACTCACTTTTATGAAATTATAGCAGGATCACCACTATATTTTAAGCCATTTCTGATAGTCTCAAGCCATTGTTTTGCACCATCTCTAAGACCTCAACCAGGAAGTCGCGAAGGACCAATGAAAGCCAGTTTTGTAAAGCTTCCTTTCATACCAATTAGCTGACATCAATCCATTTAGGGCGACTAATTTTTTGGCTACTAAGATGTGAGATAAGATTGGAACAAACAAGGGAACAATTAGAGTCCAGATAAGTACTTCAAAACAAGTGGCAGTCTTGTATACAACCACACCAGCGGTTGCTGATCGCAATTTGATTAGTCTGAGTCCAGGTTTGAGATGCAAAGGGAGGACTCCAGAGACCACATCGGCGATAACTGTGACGTTAGTTAGCACTAGCAAGAAATATGTAGTCTGGCCAAAGTTGCAGTAGACAGTTGTCGTTATCTGACCTGCGACCAACAAGTACTAATTGGATACCTAAACGACTCTTCTGTATCTAAACGCCCAACCTGTCCATTTAAGTCCGGCTAGTACTACAATATCTGACAAACACTTGTAAAATTAAATTTGACTATTGTTAGAGCACATCCTCATCCGAGATGCAATCTGTCAAAGCGTTGACGAAGAAACTGCTTCTTACACCGATCTCTCACTTTAAGACCAATTTTGCTGTGCTTGTGATACCTAATTTCTCTGGGTTGAGGATGTTAGACGACTTTGTGTTTGATCGTCGTTGTCTCCGAAGTGTTGCTGACATCTAGTGGCAACACCTTGTTAGTAATGAAGATGTCCGGCAGCATGTGCTCTGACACAGCTACGATAATTCAAGTAGTGTCACCATCTTGAGGCACCGACGAATGTCGTCTGAGCGAATTCCGAACAGTGCGTTATTTGCCGACCCCGAGACTGATTGGAAAACGCAAAGAAGTAGTCAATGCAAGACGTGGTGTCGTGGTATGAAAGAAAGCTTTACAAAACTGGCTTTCATTGGTCCTTCGCGACTTCCTGGCTGAGGTCTTAGAGATGGTGCAAAACAATGGCTTGAGACTATCAGAAATGGCTTAAAATATAGTGGTGATCCTGCTATAATTTCATAAAAGTGAGTGACTTCTCAAACTGTAAGAACCCTTTCTGGTTGTCTGTTTCCTAAATTAATTGCTCTTCCTATTATCATTTCACATTACATTAATTTCCGTTCATTGTTTTTTTATCACACTCACCTTCCATTCTCTATTTCTTCACCTCCTTTTTATTGTGTGGTGCATACACAGTTATTACTCCTTTGTGCCAATGTTTGCGTTCAAACAAATAAATAGACAGTCGACGTCAGCCACTTTGTACCGACTCACGATATATAGACCGATCTCTTTTCTCCACTTATTCCCTAAAATCTCTTTGTGAATAAGTACCTGTTGTTTCTTGTCCGAATCAACTATTTGAACTTATTAAAGAATCAGGTATTAAAGATTAGGCTGTCGCTGAATTTATCTCGGAAAAAGACGGTACAATCGTTCACTTACTCTCCAGGGGATTGGGCTGCTGGGCAGAACAACTTGGGGAACATTCCATCTGACCTTTACACAGCACCTCTACGCAGCCTGGATGGAAACTTGCTACGAGTCTCCCAACTCTTAGTGAATTCGAAAAAATGCTATAAGCAATTCAAGTGGTAGGGGGAAGCAGGTCTTGATGAAATAACACAGGATTTTTAAGCATAGTGGTAAAGTTCTTGCAGTTATACTAACTGAGATTCCAACCAGCATCTGGAAACTGAATGTTACCCCCATCGGACTGGTCTCAACCGCTGACCGTCCCAGTCTATAAAAACAGGTATTCTCTTGAGTCAGTCACAACGGGGTTCGTTTGACTAACATAGTTTCGAAAATACTTTGACGTCAAACTAGAGTTCATGATGAGCAAACCCAAGGGAAACAGGCTGGTTTCAGAACTGGACGTGGATGTACAAAACAAATATTCACTCTTCAGCAGATTTTGGAACATACACATGCTTTTCGACGTCAGAATGTAGTTATATCCCCTGACCCTTATGCGTAGTTAAACTCCGTTGGTCGCCGGGTTCTGTGGCAGTGTATGTCGTTGAAAAGCGTACCAGAAAAGTGGATTAACTCGAACACTACTAGTCGAGTTACAGCTAATGATGAACTGACATCGTGATCGACTTCCTCAAGTGGTGCCAGTCATGGTTGTCCACTTTCTCAATCTTAATTTAACATGGTCTTAAGCACTTTTTAAGAGATAACGCTCTAGTCGTCCGACTTTTCAAGGGTTGATCTACCAGATCCATTTGATTCAAGATACGCGTATAATGTAGCTCGATCTGACAAAGGTGCTGAAAAATCCAGCCTTATGATCAACTTAAGCATATATACAGACGTGTTAAAGACAGAATTCCCCCTCTTCCAATGCATAATGCTGTTTCATGAATGGCCTGCGCCATCTGAATTAACGATAGAGAGTGTAGCAGTTGAGCGTGTTGATCGCATCTTTTTTCTTTAAAGTCTGATGTCTGAGGAAGTCTGCCTAATTGCGTCACCTGTTGTGTAGGCGAGATATCCATCTGCTAACGAAAGGACGAATTAACTGCACAACAGTTCGTCGTATGTGTAACATGGCCGTTAGGAATGGAGAATACCACTAGGCTACTGCCGTACGATCACAGATGTTCTCGAACCAATGAGTAAGCAATGTCTGAGCAAGAGTCACAACCGATTGACTAAGTAGTAAATCTTTATTAACTGCGGTGACTAGGACATGTGACGTATGCCAAACCAGCGCCTATCTCAACAGGCGATTCGTGATGTGAACAAAGCTAGGGTCGGTAAATCAAACCATGGCATCGACCCATAAAGTCATCGGAAGTTGGTTTGAGTCATGTCCATCGGTGTAGACTAATCTGACTAGTGTCTGCGTGATCATCGTAACCAATCATAAATCAAATGAAACGGCTCAAAATCCTTCGTAACAACGCATATACACTCAATTTTTGTCTTCTCGATTCTCCACAAAATTTTCACACCACTAATTTATATGTTTTCGAATCGTGCATCCGACGCCTCATGTTTCTTACCCTCAATAATAATGTCACTACCTCTATTACCCGGGACCAGTTTTTACAATTTTGTCTGATTGTGCGAATGCGGTATGACAGCTTGGACCGATGTATACACGTACCGAGTTCTGCGTTAATGACTGACTAAAGTCTCTCATTCAGAAAACTAACATTTATTTATTGCATCCAAGTCAACATCGAACAAACGACACAACCTAAGAAAACGAATAAATCAAAAACCCTGATACATTCTAATCAGCTCTCCTTAAATGCATTATATTTCCTTCACTTCGGTGCTTGACAAGATTTATTTGAACGCACGGTGCAACCGATGTTATTGTTGGGAACATATGACCTCACCACGAAACGTCCTAAGTTGGTATTTTATCTAAATATAAATAAATAATGCGACAATACAAAGTGTGTATATGACAAACAGTGATCAGTTCTGCATTCTGATTGCGTGAATTACGCCCCTACGATTACCAACACGTTTAAATTTTGAGCAGCATTGATGTGACGCTTCCCTTGTTAAACAAGGAACTTGTGGCCAAATTTTACTTGCATCACATTTATGATTCACAGTGTCATACGTTTACGCTACTTCATTTTACACATTAAATTGAGCGATTTTTTTTACTTCCTTAGGTAAAGGAGCGTTCTTTGGAAAACATCCTACGTGACCGCAAAGTCTACGAACCATCTCGCTTTATGTCTTGTTGTGAAGCTGTACACCAAATAGTGGACGTCATTAATAGGAAAGCAGAGGATCAGCAGAGCAGAAAAAATGCAGTTATTACGAAGTCCTGTATTGTAATTTGCTTATCCCGATTAGGATGTGATAATCAGAAAATCGTTGTCTCAACATTAAGTGATATCAATGAAGCCTACTTAAACCCAGAAAAAAATGGTCTCAACTTTGGAGACCCACCACATTGTATAATCATACCTGGGATAATCCACGAGCTGGAATCAGAATTTCTGGTTGCTCGATACCGAAATGATGTCGACAGTCACATATTTTTGCCCATATTTTACACTACACAAGGAGATTCGGAAAACGTCCTCGAAAGTTGTCAGGACACCATACACCTACACAACGTAACAGTCCGCACCATGCAACCTACGCTTAACCACACTTAGCATTATATACACCACTTCTTTGATAAAATAAAAATATATTTCTTTTACTGTAGCGTTTTGAACTTTTGGTAAATTTGTGCAGAGTGAAAGTCGAATAACTAAACCAATGGGCCCCCTCTCGTTCATAAATTGAAAGGCATCAGACTCTCATGCACGTAACTCGATAATCTCATCTTGACATAACACTAAGAAATTTCTCGTTTGTCAAAGAAAGCTTTCTGAATGTGACCGCAAGCCTCTTCAAAGCTACACGATATCTGGCAGATCGGTCAACACTTATTAATTAAGCGACCTCGCTCACATTAGTAGGTATATCAGATATCCTTACATTTGTGACCGCAAGTATAATTTCTCTGTATTGAGTTACTCCAACCCCGTAAACCTTAAAATCCTGTCACAGAATACAAAATCCATCATGATTAGTTTGAAAACTTGTACGTTATGATTTCCTACATACTCTTGACAAAGCTGTTTAAAACACTGAATACGAAACCCTAACATGAACCACTAGTGATATATCACGTGCTCATTGATATAAAAACCGTATGTAACGCATAGCAAATAAATGGAACCTATGACTCGGAGGTCGACCGTTGTATATCTCCCCACTTACACACAAACAACGGAAAGCGGATACGCACTTTAAGACACGTAAAGAACACATGCTTTGTTGAAGATTGTATATTGAATGCTAAGTGTACAGATTCTCGTGAGTTCATTACTTGTAAAAATAACACTTCTGGAAAAACAACTGAAAAAGACTTGTGGGGATTTCAGTTCACTGCATTTGGTTTTCACGCTATAAAGTTTCGTTTATTAGCTTTGACATTTGAACCGATTATTAAAGCAATATAGAGCTATTGGGACGGGGTCTGAACTCAATCTAACTAACCTGCACCAGGATGTATTATTCTTTTGACAAAGTGAATCAGATAGAAGTGATAACACACGTAGGCGTTGTTGGAAGGCGTTGCACAAATACCGGGCGAACTATCTCGTTTACGAAGACGACGAAGTCAGGTTCCACAAAGGGTTCTTTGGTGTTAATGAAATATTGAACAACTTGAGTATCAAGTAACGAAATCCTAGTGGCCGCTATGAGGTGTTCGGCCACATGACTGCTGAGTAAGACTACGACACATCTGATTATTTTGGAATGACGTAGTTTCCAGTAAACGGTGACAGTGATTTTCAAAACGAGAATTCTTAAAGAATCGACTATCTGCTTAGCCTTGGGACTGTTTGAAATGTTTATCAGACAAGAGTGAAGAACTCCTTGAACCAAATAGTGTTCACATTAGCTTGGCGTGTTAACACCAAGTTTTTAAGGTAGAAAATTTTCGATTGTTTTTCAAGATCTGTCAAGTGAACAGATCTCGAGGACATAGAACTGCTTTTACATCGCTTTATATAACTTTATTCGATTGCACTTATCTGCTTTACCATTCACCATGGACTAACAACCGGACTAAGTATACTAAAGCTGACTGGCGTTAAATAAACTCATAACTGCCCATTTTCGGTATGTACGTTACAACACTTTGAAACGGAATCAGTGAATACAAAACGGAGGTAGCAAAACACAAGTGGCAGAGTTATGTAAAAATTCAGTAAATCTCTATACACCAATGGGTGATCAAAGGCGAAGCATTGTAAAGCCAATCCCAGTAGGAAGACTGACTAGATTTAGGAATGTAATAAACTCACTGCAGTATACTCAAATCGGAAGAGCGATCTTTGGTGGTCTTGAGTGCCGTTAGAGGTAAGATAGCGATTATCGCTTCCCGGTTCCCAAACCGTGCAAAGGTTCTTCTAGAGGTATCTGAAAAGGAAATTATGTAAGATTTGATCCTGGTGACCCGAAGGTGTGATCATTGTGCTCAGGGGGCAGTCACGCACGATCTTCTTATGTCAGCTCTGCACTTGTTGACACTTTGCCGCTGTAGAGGGAAATCCGTCAGGGAAATTCGAAGTGTGCAAATTTCAGTTCAGCCTTTTCTAAGCACATCTATTGTGTATGAGAATGTAGCATCGGCTGTTATGCCGGCTTTCTGGGGAAAACACTTCACTGCTATCACACCATCTCGGAGAAAATCTCCGGTACGGATTTGCGACGATAGTGGAAGTTTTCTTTTGTAACGGACGAGGAACCACTTTATCTAATAGAACACAGTGAACTCTTCAGACTTTCTTGCCCAGGGATCAGAATTTAAGAACAAAACCGAAGTCGTGACTGTTTATTTGTTTAATAACGGGAATTTTGAACAACCTCCAGCCATTTCACACTAAATTTGACAGTTTAGACGTGCTACTTTCAGAAGTGAACTATCGCTTATAAGCTGTGAAGATTTGTTCACAAACAAAAACATTAACACGCTGATCTGCGAACCTTTGTTGTAGTTTAAATTTTTAGTCTCTGCGGCTACCACCTCTTTACCCACATGACAATCAAATAAAATAATGCTACTTACCCCTATTCCCTATGGCAAAAACCTACCTTTAAACATCAAGGCATGAATGCACTGGAAGTTTTATGATCCCTCTGAAGTACGTGAAGTACTCGTGTAATGTACGACATACTGTGCTGACCTTTAAGTGACTGGATATTTTCCTATATTTAATCGTAAAAGCACCGCTCACCTTTCTATCCAAAACCGAATTCGTCACTGAGGAACCAGTGTACATTGACGATCACATTAAACTGGGCTGTTTAAAACAATGACCTACCAGATATATTTCATTAGTTTGACTTACATTGTTTCCAGCACACTTTAAAAGAAAACAAGAAACGCAAAGTAAGTTTGTTTACGATTAACATAGTGAAAGTTAAATGTACAACACATGATCAGTTAAAGTTCAGATCACAAGCTTTGGATAAACGTACGAACGACTGACTTGCGTTAGAACCGTAACTGTGGGATTCCAGCCCAAGGTGTAAGTTGACCAGGAGCAGGCGCCATTTGAGGTTGCATCGTCGGCAAGCCGAAAGCTATAATTTAAAAAAGTGGTTAAAAGTGACTAAAATTATCGACGAGTATCAGGTCGTAATGAGTTCATATTTATTATGTGAGACTTACCACGAAACGGAGTACTTCAAAAATTTTAAACGGAAACCAGGTGGATGAAGGACATATCCACAGATGCCGTGGAAAAGGGATCGGTGTGTGAATAAATAATAAAACATTCGCATCGAATCTATGGGAGTTTCTTGGAGATTTGTGTGGTACATAAAGCAAAACTCATCGTGTACATTGATAGCTAAACTTCAGTAACGAGATAGAACCATTGTAACAGAAGAGACTGGGCATCGAGAGTATGACTCGAAAAAGTATAGACTGACTAGTCCACAAAGACCCGAAACTCAAAACCTGAGGTAAGACAAGGAGAGAGTGTATTGTGTTGCCTGTTTTCGAGTCATCTCTGTATCCGTTAGACGCGATATTCATGCCTATTCTAACTATGAAGCTTGAACCTGCCTATATAGTTTAGATAAATTGTAAGTATCTTTATGAACTAATGTCACGCTTTGATAATGATGCTACGTATGCATATGTAGAGATCAAATCGCGTTGCACGGAAGACAATAACTAAGTTTTACTTCGTTAAGAGGCACTGATGTGTCTACTTTTGTTTTTAAAGTGAACTGATTCAAAAGTATCACATTGGGGAATTTTTATGACTAACAGTAATTATCAGAGAAGGAATGTATGTAGATGGGTCGAGATTAAACAAAGCAACATTCCCGACTTCTCAGTCGCGCGAAGACAATTGGAATCAGTGAGATTGATGTCCAGGAAACATAAATCAGAGCTGCCTAGTGCGCTCATCTCGAGGCTGGTATTGTCAGCTGGTACAGACAATGGTACCAATAATCCCAATAAAGGGCGATGCAAAATGAATTTGATTTTGTCATGAAGGTTCAGAAATTACTGAAGCTTTAATGAAGCTTTTTTGCACATAAACTAACAAGTTTGAATTCCCATGATTCAACAAACACTTTTTACACTATTAATTTACGAATCTTTGAGAGAGAGTGACTATTAAAAGTTCTCCAGAATATTTTAATTAAACCACCTACCAGGAGGAGGAATAAATCCAGGTGTGTAAGCGAACGGCATTGGGACGGAGGCTGGAGGCACAATTGGAGGATACACAATTTGTGTGGGCTGTGGAGGTATGAAACTTGGAGTTGTTAATCCCAGAGTTATTGGAATAGGGGGAGGTATAATCTTTTTAGCTGCATTTTCAACAATAGTTTTGTATCGCGGTAACTCAGCTCTTAACTCCTCCTGAAACCATTAAATGAGGTAAAAGAAAACCAAACTCACCAAAGACAAATCTTCATCGGGATGAATTAACTCAATGACTACTCCATTAACTCCTGATGTAGGCTTCGGGACTTTGGACACGTTGGCCTTCATGTTGGACGATGGAGATGAATAGGCAGGAAAAGTAGCCTTTGGAGTAGACGTGGGGGACTATACAATAAGTCAATTATAAGCAGTTACCTTTTCGTCATTTGGAGTAGCTGGTTGAGGAGGAGCAGGAGCTGCAGGAGGAGGAGGCGGCGGTGGTGGTGGTACATATGGTACTGAACTACAGAAATCAATCAGGATTAACGAAGCTTACTTTAAATGTGGAGGTATGCTATGAACTAGAAAGGTGGAATTAGAATAAAATTTAACTTACGTCCAATATGACCGAAAGGTCCCATAGGAGGACACAAAGACTGCATAAAGGGTAGTGCCGGATGAATAGGCGGTGGTGGGTAGAACGGGATACTTTCATCTTCTTTGGCTATTTTCTCTGGTGGCTCGTCTTCACCTTCTAACCCAAATTTCTGCCTTTCATGTTCGATCATATCTACTTCTGGAATACCAGACATGCCGTATATATCAATGACGGTGCTTGTTCTGTTTGGCAAAGCATTTGGAATCTTATCCAGCTTTTCTTTATGAACCTGACATTCTAAGTTATGGTGAATGTTTTAACTTACTTGGTTGCAATGAATCGACAAACCAGGACCTGTGAACAGTTTTCTGTGACAATAAGGACATTTGAAGTGTTTCGCTTTTTGATGTTGGATTAGAATCTTTTCATCGTCAAACTCCCGATTGCAATACCTAAGATTGTCAGTATTCCGAGTCTCACATACCAACACCATGGCTTTAGCTGCTTCCTCTTCTTGCGACCCATTTCCAACGCAACAATCGAACTGAACTATCCGCCTCGGAACCGGAAAAACAGACTACGTAAACAGTCTTCAATTAACAATTCTTCAGAAGTAAGAATAAGATATTCATCGACCTTTATTATTAATTGCAGTTTGTGACACTGTGGGGGGTTAGTCTGGCTTCGAATATACAGACAGGTGATGATATTACGTGTTCTGGTCGAGAATTCCGGAAATTCATTACTCGTTGTAAGGAGCAGGACTCCAGTCACAGACGATTTGATCATGGTTTTTGAACTTTCTTAGAGTGTCCTCTCAAATTATAGGTCCTAGGCTGAAGGGGAGAATAAGACATGTTGGTAACAAGGTCATCATTCAGTATACGATAATACAATGTTAGACCACCCCGTAATCTGTCTTCATCAGAGAGACTTTTGGATATTCAACTGGTGATTAATGGCTACTTAATACGAAAACCATTTTTAGTTGTTACCTTCCTGTCACACAACCACGACCTGACAGCTACCTTTGACTGTACAACCGCAAGTAGGGTTGTCGGATAAATGAAATCAATGAAAATAAATGGCGGAATATTCGTGAAAACATTACGGTGAGTTAACAATTAAGCTTATGCGACAATTCCGTACTGTGGGTTTGTAGGATAATGGTTTACTTCTTTATTGGTACATCCACCTTTGATACTATAAAAATAGACCTAGTCTCAAAATTGCAGATTTATCATGATCTAAATACTTAATCTATATGACCTCACGTGAACGTCACACCACTGTCTACACTGTCTCGTCGTACGTGACAATCAGCAAAATGGCGTTTAGCATTTCTGAAAACGCATTTAGGCTCAAGATGGAAGGATATATTCAATGTGAATAGGGATTCGTTACACAGACTTACCACGCCCAAAATGCTGAGCCATACCATCCCGAAGAACTCTCGAGTCCACCATTTTCGACCTATGAGTGTTAAGTGTTGAATGCGAATCTCAGTAATTATATGCTCGGCTTCAAAGATCTTGTGGTTGGGAACCAATACCTTTATATGTTTACGATGTTTATGATCTGCTTGAAAACGGCAAAGCATCTAGGTTTTGACTTTGGTAAACGCACATCATGCCCAAACTCAGTACTCGATGATAAGAATTGTGGTTCTGTTTGGCATTTATGGAATGTAACTGTTTAATAAGTCCATGGTTGTTATAAAATAGGTAGTGTATAGCACTTGGTATAAGCTGCGGCCCTGAAGAATGTAAGTTACGTTTGTTTCAGGCTTAAAAAGAAGATCCATGGCTGTGTACTGTGAAAGTGATTCTGAAAAGAAAGGAACAGAGGAGCAGTAAGGCACTTGGATAAAATTCTAAACAATGCAAAACAGTTTGTGGTAGAACAGACTAAGGTAAGGTAAATTAATAGATAAAACTCAATATAGCTGCCATTATCACAGGGAGTCTTCAGATAAGAGAATATAGAAATAAAAAACAACGAGTTGTGATATGTTTCAAGGTGGAGTGGGTTTTAATAATGTAGGAAAAGTTGAAGTTAGACTGGGGATGGCTGTTTATTAGAATAGAAAGTGCATCAAGAGAGTAAACTGTTAGGAACTGCTAATAACTTTATCTTCCAGTATATACTCCTTTCCTTCATTGTTCTGAGTTTTTCATCTGATGACAGTCAATAGGTTACAATGTAAAGGTCCAAGGTGGCATGCTATAGGACGTCTTAATAGTGTGGAGAAATCACCATAAAACTGGAAACATGAGTCCAAGTAGCGAGATTAGGAGAACAACCTCATTATCACTGATTACTTAGATCGTCTTCTGTCGAAAAACACCAACAATAAACAAAATATTCTGTCCCACAAACATGGGTAGATCTTAATCATCGTCCTCACCATTAATGATTGCTGATAAGTAGCTTCACCTCCCACCTTTTATGGTAATAGGCTATTTTAAGGTTACTTCAAGATTAAATATTATTTCCTACTCCATGCTTTGTGTTTCATATTATGCTGGAAAATACTATCACTATAAATACCATTTTACGAGTTTATCAGACGGTTACAAATTATGGATTGTGTGCAAAGCATCAATGCGGTGATTAAATGACAATAACATAAATTATGGGTTTATTAACAAATTGTAAGCATTCAGAAAGGTACAACGACGTAAGCATGTTCACCGAAGTAGGTAGGGTAGTTCAAAAATATAACAGTTACAAATATGTCATTGGGTAATGAGATAAAATTGATGGCAATTCAATAAAGGGTACACGAAAACAATAAACTGGTGGAGAATATACAAGAAGAAACCCACATTAACTTGGTGGCGTTTTGTGATATCATGACCGGATGATGGTTTAATGATGCTGCGGGTTCAAGATCATCGGTGATAGGCAGTAAGTTGCGAGATTCACGCGACAGCGTTCTGTGTTAGTAACAAGTGTCCCTTGTGGCCAACTATAGTTGAGTAGTATCGATTGATCCAGTGAGTTACCAGTCTACTTCAAGTAAAAATTTAATAGGGACATGTGGCTACGGAAAGCATCTCACGCAACTTCAGGTGGGAGGAAAAATAGATGAGTAACTCAGATTCTCGTATGATCTAGACATGCAAAGTGCCTGTGATTTATTTATTTATTTATTTAAACACATAAACATTGGTACAAAAAAGCACCAGATAAATATGCGCCTCACAAATCTCATTTGATTTGTGTGAGGGCTGTGATACTGCCCAGGTGTCCAGACTGAAGCAGGCGGTTTTCTTAGGGGCCACACCCGGAGCCTTTGACCTAAAGGCCTAGTCCACAAGGCAGTGGAGCATCGTAAGGAGATGCAGTCCCTTGGTAGCCAGTGACCAAAAACAGGTTCATACGCCATTCGTTCCATCAGGATCCTGGAGCCCATGTACACCATTGGTTTGGAATCAGGGTTTTCCAACTCCCCTAGCTGGACTCGCCGTGCCCACCAACCCTGTTAAAGCACCGGCTATTCTCTTTTCGTCCTCTCACTTTCGTGAATAACACCCCCGCCACGAGAAGGCAGTGAGTAGGACTTCCCTGGCAGAGGCTATATACGCATGGCCATGTGAGAGCATTTCGAGGAGAGCAGACTTCTCTCCACTCTCGGCCGTACCAGGGAATTTGGGGGCGTAGACGTGTTCATGAGTGCTAGGAAACCAGTTCAAGTGTTGGCCTTATTAACAAGTCTTACAGACGTATGCAATCCATCAGAAAAGATCACTCCATATTGCTGCGTATCTGATGAGGAAGACATTCTCCTGTCTTTTTGTTTTGTATTTTTTAACTATGACAGCAAACAATATATTTTTTGTTATATCCCAATGAGTTGGGAAATAGTATTCCTTGCGTCTCGTTACTTAGTGTAAGCCACTTCTTCAGAATAAATAAAAAACTGAAGTGGCTTGCATTAGGTCACGAGACGCCAGAAATACTTTTTCTCGACTCATTCGGATATAACAAGAAATATATTTATAATTAACTTTCTTCCCAATGGTCAATGTACTTGAAATTATCAAGTTCAACATTCGACGGCAAGTAATTTATCTTGAAGGTCTCGTATATGAGGACCGTGGGTAAGGACAATATTACAAGAAGAGCAAGGAAGATTCTTGGGGAGCGTGAGCTAGGACATCTAAACTGGACCTAAGGCTTCTTTCCCAGAAAGGCTCAAGTCCTAAAGTATGGTTTTGGGAACGACAGTTGATAGACTAGTCAGCTATAGGATTTTTGCGGATGAAATCCCTTTGTATTCTCTCCACCCTAGGTGTATTGGATAAGCACATGTCGGAAAATATGAATGAGGAGTATTCATTGAATCGGAAGTACTCCATATCTCGAGAAGAACCCATGATAAATTGAACAACACAGATACAACCAAACAATGTGGACTTCACAGATGACTTATATCTCACGCACAGAAACAGATGAGGGTGGAAACAGTCAGTGCAACAACAATCTCTGAGGTAGCAAGCATAAACGTACAAAAAAGAAAACGCAATATCCTGAAGCACTGAGAGAACAAACCAAATTACATTTGATGAAAAACACCCTTAACATTCATCCAATAGCCCATGGGCACGAGTCCCGCTATAATAGACCTAAAATGTTGTTAAATAAATAGGTAACAGAACTACTTAGTAATCAAGAAATTACACGCCAGCTGAAGATTACATAACGACAGAAATAGCCCACAAGGTCTCAATAATATGAATATATGAAATATAAATCATGTCAAGATACACAAATAATTAAATAAAGTAAACAAACACTATAGAAGATAACCTGGTAACTGGAATAACAGAAAAATAAAAGAAAGATTTACTTGTCATTCATGCATACAACTGTCTTCTACACTGAATCCCTACATCCAGTATATGTTTCAAATAGGCTTGTATATCGGATTCTTCGTCAAAAACATTTCCAGAACGCACTTTTTCCGAAATATAATTAGCCACTTTACTCAAATCATCTAGAACATTTGAAGCCTGTAATATTTTCAAAGCAGTTACGTGTGAATTCGATTTCGCATTACTGTTGCTTTCCAATTCAGTTTTAGATTTTAATGCTTCAAACAACCAATCAATCAACTCAGGTACACATTTTCCAGGTGCTGTCACTGGCCAACCATTAATAATTTGAGCAAATAAACAGGTAGCTGCCAAAGTTGCAGTTGTTGCAACTTTTAGTAAATCATTATTAATTTTAGCATTACACACTGATTCCTTTAGTTGCATTTCAACTTGAATGGCTAATTCATTAGCTTTAAGTCGTTCGTCTCGTTCTCGTTTATTATTATCACTATTAGGTGAATGAAATACGGAAATAGTCAAGCCGAGAATGTCAACTGATAGATTTTTTATTGGAGTATAAAATGTATCAAGTGATGTTAGATTATTTTGTCCAACTTTAAAGCTGTCCAAAACTTGCTGTATAGCACTGCTCATTGAAACTGCATCTGGTAAATTAGTATGTTTTAACAATTCTATCAAACGATGATACGATTCAATGCTTAATGATTCTGTAATATTTGATTTGACATTG